GAAATTAGGCCCCGAGAAGCTTGAAAGAAGTGCAACACATTACGGGGTGACTTGATCACAACACTGAACATATTCAAACTTCTGTGGGTGGGTGGGTTTCTAACACACTGTGGGTGGAACTCGATAATGGAGAGTCTCAACTTCTCCGTCCCGATCATCGCCATGCCCATCCACCTTGATCAAGCCATGAACGCTAAGTTTCTAGTGGAGAAGGGCCTGGCAATAGAGGTCACGAGGGACGGAGGAGGAAGGTTTTCAAGGACGGAAATAGCTAGGGCGGTGGAGGAGGCTTTTAGTGGGAAGAGAAGTGAGGCATTGAAGATGAGGGTTAAGGACATGAGCATTAGGTTGAAGATGAAACGGAGATAGGAGATGGACAATGCTGCCCAGGAATTGAGAAAACTTTGTGCCAAGATAGAGAAAGTGTAGTTTGATTTAAATTATTTACAGCCAATTGCCAAATAATCGTACTTCCTCAATTTTCTTCCCATTTGAGCTTATTGATCAGTGTTGTTAAGGTTTTTCAATGCACATTGGATAAAACAATATACACTACAACAAAAAAAAGGTACTTTTGTCACACTTATTTTGCTGGGCTAATTAAGTGTGCTAAATGATTCATTGATACTCACCATACTTCTTGGCACGTCATAAGTGATAAGACCATGCCTAGTGGGCATGCACTAGATTTTGAGAATGTAGGAGAATGGTATGGAGAAAGAAGGTTGCAGAGCAGCGTTAACGAAGAATGAGAAGAATAAGTTGATCTGATAGAGTATAATGAAATTCATAAAAACGCTTTTTGATCAAAGTTATTTTGGAGTATACGAAATACTTTAATCGGATAAGACATAAATCAACAACAAGTCTTTCAAATTGTATCTTCAACCATACCCGAGCGTCTCTATTTATAGAGATGACAATTGACAATCAGACATGATCTTTTGCGTAAAAGTTTGCAAACTTTCACGTGGTAGGGATAAACACAGACTTTCGATTTTTGGACACAAACGTTCATGGAGTTTGGTCATAATCAGTCTTCATCTGAAGATGAACCCAATTATATTAAATATATATTATAATTAAGTATATTTTTATCACAATTTGTAGTTAAGTTGTGTCACTGTTAAACAAAAAAATCAAAACAAGAAATGTCTTTAGAACCTGAGGGAGTATAAACTTACGTATATTTATATAAGTTTTTATAGATATCAAAAAGTTATCTTTTTTAAGTGATGCATTCTAAATTCTTTACAATTCATTACAATGTTAAATATATCTTAAAAGGAATGGAAAATTAAGATATTTAATACATGTATTTTGATATTTAATTATTTTTTAGTCCAAACTGTATGAATTGAAATATTCTAAAAATAAATCTCACAATCCATTGTGTTGATTTGAAATCGATGATACTAGGTCATGAACACTTAGTTATCAATTCAAACTCGAACTTACTTGAATGCGATGTAACCTGAATATGAAATGATCGAACTCAAATCAAACCTCAAATCTAAATGACTAATTTGCCAATTTTATAAATGAGTACGTGAAGTCCAGGACTTTCTAATATTTTGGACTCCGTTCACAAAAATCTAAAGGGGGTTTTCATAAGCTCCACCCTGGCGGGTCTCGCCAGGGGCTCTGCCCCTTGGACCCCGCCAGGCCAATGGTTGCTAGCCCGAGACCCTCGTTTCCCGAGGGCTCCTGCCCCAGGACCCCTATATATGAATTTGTAATATTCATTGAACGAGTGCGCACTTCGCACCTCCTAACTCCTTTAACAATGTCTATTCAATTAGTTCTTGTCTGATCTAAGTAAACCCCAATCATACAAAATAACCGATGACACTAAAATCACCAACAGAGAATTAATCTAAATTAATCAAAAAAACCAAAAGAAAGAGAGTGGGAAGCTGAGTTGTACTGTTGGCGATTTTAGTGTCATCGGTTATTTTGGAGGAAGAATGTCGCGGTGCAGCGTTAAGAATAACTTGATAGAGTATAACGAATCGCGTAGAAGACTTTCTGATCAAAGTTATTGTGTGGTTACAAAATACTTTAATCAGATGACAGGTTAATCAAGAACAAGCACTGAAAACTGGATTCCTTAACCATACCTACGAGACTCTATTTATAGAGTCAAAAATTGATGATCATAATGAATGTTCGCGTTATAATAATAGTCTTTCTTTATTTCCGCAACACTATACTTCATTTCTTATGATGCAACAAAAATCTAGCAGCATTTCTTCATTATATAAATGGTCTTTATTTATTTCATCCTAACACATTCTTGAAATGCCACCCTCACTAGTGAATGCATTCCATTTTCTTTGATCCATCAAAGTTTTGGTAGCATTTTCCAATGGTTACTCAAGTGGACGATCTAATGTAGTTACATATGCACTTAAAGAATGCATCTGGAAAAAGGCATGCCAAAAAATGATGGAACTAAGAAAAAGAAATACATTCACTACCTAAGTGAGGGAAGCAGTTCAAGAACAACTCCAAAGTGGGAGCTATTTAAAAATTACTCATATTGAGTAAATTTTAAACGAGTATCTAGGTCGGTTGATATATATTTTTTCCATATATATTATAACATCTTAGATCATGTAGCATAAAACAAACAATAATAAACAATATATATTCCAATGTACTATAAAATAAATTTATGTCAAAAAAATAACACAAACCCAAAAAAAGATTTGACATGAATATCACAATGTCACATTTCAACTAAGACATACACACAAAAGTAATTCAAGTATCTATGAATTCAAGTAAATACATTGAAATAAAAATTTTAATATAACATTTTATAGTAATGAACAAATTAAACACAATGAGACGGCAATAATGTGGAGGGCGACTTGTAGCTAGCAGGCAGCGTTCTAATGGGACGGTTGCTAAGCAGCAAGGATGGAAAAAGAGGAGAGGAGGATGTAGGTGGCGACTATAGACAGCGCAACGATAGTGGAATTGAGAACGGTGATGGTAAAACAGTGGCGAGTGTGAGGGAACTCGTCGGCGACGAAAGGAGGGGAGGACGACTGATTCAAATACCTATACCTTTTGAATCAGTTATTAGTTATAACTGATACAAAAGAGGGTTAGTATTTGGATCGGTTATTACTAATAGCCAATTTAAAAGGTATTTGAATTGGTTATTAGAAATAACTAATTCAAATACTAAGCGGTTGGCGAAAATTAATTCCCTTTTGAATTGATTTTTTAATGTAGCGATTCAAATATGGTAATGCATTTGCTCATTTTTGTACTAGTGTTGGTGAGTGTGGGTGAGTGTGGGTAGTGACTAGCTTTTTAGTTACTCGTAAAAATATATCCTGGTATAGGATATAAAAAAGTCTGTTTATAAGTGTCTGAAATTTAGCCTTGTAAATAAAAGGCGAGTTTTTTTTGTATATTGTCATGAAATAGTGAACATATAGTTTTTTTCTCTTGTACATTTTTCTTGTGTTTGTTCTCTCATTTTTTTAGCGTTCTCAACATTTTCGGTGTCTTATGTGCTTAAAATTCCAACAATTGGTACCAAAGCTTGGTTGTGCTGGACAGGAGGGGTTTATAAGCGGTAAAAGGAGAAAATTTGAGAACCCAAAGACTGGCCAATTTGGCTAGTAGGTGGCCATGGGACTTCAAGAACAAAGTTGATGGCATGGGGACCAGGTGTGAAGCCAACGCCATGTTGACTTTGTGAACTAGGGTGCAGGATCAAGACCGAGAAGACCTGTGTGGTCTATCAGAGTGGAGATCTGTGGTTTATGCCTTGAGTCGAAAGTCTTCCTGACAAAAGAGTTGGTCGGGCGGCTTGTCCCGCATGTGTTGTTGCGGCGGTGCAAGGTGGGCACATCGGAACAAGTTAATTACTAGAGGGTGGTCACAGAGTTGTTGGTCCTGATGTGTGAAAAAAGGTGAGTTTTCATTTTTTTTAGCTCGGTGGAGGTTTAAAACTCTAGGGAGCTAAGGTAGTGGAAGTGATCTTGACGGGGTTGGTTGAGATGGAGTCACAGGTACAATGGCAACTGGGAGCGGCAGGGACCTTGTCGCATTCAGCAATTCAAAGTGGAGCCACGGAGGCTAAAAAGGGTGGCGGATATCTTGTAGAATTTGAGCAAGATAAGGTCACAAAAAAAATCAAGGGGGCGATGATCTTGGAGGATTGACCAAGGTGGAGAGAGAGAGAGAGAGAGAGATAGAGAGATAGAGAGATAGAGGTTCTATAAAAAATTACCATAGAGAAAATTCAAGAGGTCTTTAAGAGTGTGGGTGAGTGTAGGGAGTAACTGGCTTTTAAGTTACTCGGAAAACTATGTCCGGATATAGGATGTAGAAAAGTTTGTTTATGACTATAAATGTTCGTATAGATCGTTTCTACGTTCATAGACGATCGTTTGATTGAATTTTGTGTTTAACATACTTGAAGAACCAAAGATTATAAACCTTGAAATTGTTGTTAAAAATATGAATTATTGATATCAAAATTTTTTATAAACCTTGGAGAATATTTCTATATAGTTTAATTTAAATTTGGTAACTAAAAATGGTATTTTTGAAATTGGTCCAAGAAGAAGATGATGATGAACAGTGATCGATAAAACCAGAGGGTGGATCGATCCACCCTCCTGGATCAATCACCTGGGAGATTTCGTCTACTAAGGATCGATACTAGGTACTGAATTGATCCGCTGAATTGTTTGCGCCGAAAATATTTCTGTAAATATTATTTTTGAGCTCTAAATTTATATTTTTGATATCAATTATGATCAATATAAGAATGATTTCTCAAAATAAAATGATTATTTGATGGGTAAAATTTTATGTGATGCATGACGGTAAGTTAGGGTGTTAACACTCGACACTAGGCCGCTATTTGTTAACGGATATTATGATGACTATTATTGAATAATGATTATGATCAAACCTTGATGGATAATCTGATTGAATGATTATGACAATGAATAAACCATAATGAAACGCAAGTGATTAAATATTGATTATGACAATTAAATGGATTTATAAAGAAAAGAGAAATACTGTAGAATAAAGAGAAGTGATTCATAATATAGGGAAGAACAAAGAGGGAGAAGATGGTACATAGAAGTCTAGATTCGGAATTTGTGATGTTGTTGAAGTAAAAATATCTTTAATATTATAATCTGGAGAATAAAATAAACATACAAAAACGTTCTCTTTTCTTTCTCTAACAAAACTGTTTCAGCTAGTAAATACATCACATTTTTTTCCCTCTGCGACTTTGAACGTCAGCTGGTCGTCTGTCTTTTCTTCAAAATTTGTCATCAATGAGATATTGGGGTCTTAAATGAGAGTTCATCATCAGGGCTTATGGCAACCACAAGAACCATTCTGTGGTACATATTACTCCACAATCTATTGGGATGCTGCCTTGTATTAGTTAATGCATTACAGTGTTGAACCCATTTAGAATTGGTAATCACCTCCTTATGAGCTCATCCAACAATGAATAAATAAAACTCTACTCAACTTGTGAGCTCCTCCATTAAACCCTGAAAAAAATCATTATGACATTTTAATATACCTTTATGAGTAACCAAATGTGAATCGTCGAGAATCACCTGTGCAATATACTTCTCGGCATCAGTTCTCCTAAGAAAAAGAATCGCATGGAGAGCCAAATTAGCAAACTGATCACTGAGCGTGACAGTACCGATGTCATCAAGGACCCTCACTTTGATGTAGGGGTCTTTGGGTGGTACCATATCCTGGGAAAATATTGATTAAGGCAACTTCTCATGCTGATTCATGGGAGGGAAAAAGTGAGAGAAGCTACAGTATATATAATCCATAATGGGCATTGCGTGTAAGTAATTTATTCAAACAAGTGTCCTCTGATCAAACTAGAGCCCACATTGACAATAAGTGCCAGAAATTTGACAATTATAACCATAAGCTTTGATGCCTGTTGTGTGTGTGTATTATATATTATATTATATTTTAATATAATATAATTAAAATACACACACACAGGGATTGACTCCAGTGAGATGACAGCCTACAGTGAGATGACATGCTTCGGTCAGATGACGCAAAGCTCACCACTAGCCACTGCAAAGCTCACCACTATACATACATACATACATACATACATACATATATACATACATACATACATACACACACACATATATATATATATAAGAGTTTCCTTACCACACCCAAGTCCAGATCAAGTTCTGCCATGTATGATTGTAGGGTTGCAGAGTGATTCTTGAAATATTCTTTTTCAGAATTGCTAAGCTTCTCCTCGATTTGTTCAGGGAGTACAGGCTCAAGGGTCCAACTCAAACTGCGAATAATTTCTGAGCGGTTGTATCTATCACCAGAAGAAATCAGAGAAGATTGGTTAATAAAGGAAATGTACTACTGCAGAAGTCATCTGTTCAAGTAAAAAGTAAACAGAAAATAAAGGGTATAAGTGTAAAAGTGTAATTACACATAAGCCATGAGACATCGTTTGTTGCGGATCAGAGACTGGTGGTGAACTAGCAAACCATAGTAATCAGCATCATCAGATGGTTGTTGACTACTTGAATTTTCAAATGAAGTAGAGCTGGAGGTAAAATAGTTTCAGTGCACCGTAGTAAGAGCAAACATAAGAAGCAGAGAGCAAGATTTCAAAGTAATGGAGCATACACACAACACTTGAAGTGCAATAAATTGTAACATAAATGAAATTGTCCAAGGAAGTACGTTCATGAGCATTAGTGTAGAATATGTCCAAGGTTGCTTCAATTGCTCTATTTCCTAAAACACCATGATCACAATTCACAATGGCTTCACCATTTTCAAAAGATATTTAAGCTAACTGACCTTGAGATAGACTTCAAAAATTCATTTGAAAATCACACATGAGAGATTAATTGTCTTACCATATTTTAAAAAGAACATGAAACTAAGAATGAAGAAGACATTAGCAATATAATACAAAGAAAAACTGCAGTTCGGAAAACCATAGATATATATATATATATATATATATATATATATATATATATATATATAATATGATCTCCTTCCATCCAAAAATGTTCTTCCCTTTCACTATTCACTACGTTTGCTTATCTTCACTACTAATTTCATTATATAATACAGTCATGCCACCTCTTGTCTTGAAGAACTTTTTTTGTAGTTTTTAAATACTACTCGTAGCATATAAAATTTATTTTTGAATTTTACAATTACAACCAAATAAATTGAATTGAACATAACTTCAGCCAAACCTCGTAAACCCAAATAGGAAGTAAATTTCCGTACGAAGGGAGGGATAGCTAAGATCAGTAATATCCAATCTAGTTACAGTTGCAAAGGCCATACACAATAAAAAAAGGCTTGCTGCTCGAAAACGTGTTTGCTATTATGAATGCAACAGCCCCCTTCCAGTTCCTCAACAATATCATATGCACTCTAGGACACTTGTATCTATGTGTCAAGCAATGAAGTTTATCACAGTAATACACCAGGCACGGGCAGCAAGCAAAATATAGAATATTATAAAAATATACACATCAACATGGCTGGGGACCAGTATGAAAAAACCTAAGAAGCACGGGTACTTCAAGTGTTACCTCATCAGGGATCGTAGGTGAAGGAAATGGCTGTTACATTCTTCCAGTACTTGAGAAAATAGATCATTCTGCATAAGAACGGAAAAAACCCAATTCATAAAACATCGAAGGTATTTAACATCTAGATAAAGGAAAAAACATTGACTCTAAATTGTCTTCAAAATCTGAATAAAAAAACCACCAAAAGGGTAGTATGACGCAAGAAGTGAAAACATAAAATTAAAGAACACCTGTGCAAAATCTTGATGCACATCACAAAGTATATATTTCACCTCTCCATTCAGTAAACGTTAAAAACAATAACAGATGAAAGTAGTAAATCAAATGCAGCAACAGAATAACAAATTGTAATATAGGTTGAAAGGACTCTTGCATTGTACGCTGCAAGCTGCCCAGGTTCGCCGTCTGCAAGTTCTTTCACTAACTCGCACCCTTTCTTTCCATACATTTTGATTAATTCAGTGAGATTCACACTCTACAAACTGCACCAAAAACCATTCTTAAGTATTAAGCTACAGAGGTGGATCTAGGATTTCATGACCATGGGTCCCCTACATCCGAATCATGTCTCGAACTAATTCATACCATTTAACAATTAACTAAAACTAATATTTGAATACTACTATAATTAATACGGATTACAAAATCATATGGAAATAATGTCCTTTACAACTAGACTCTTTTGATTTTTTTATTTTGAAAATGATCTATAATTACATCATCACTAATAGTAGAAAAGAGATCCATCTCCCCATATATTACTAACTAGGGGTGTTCATCGGTCTGGGACCGGACCGAACCTGACCGAAGACCGAAATGGGAAAAAATTAGGACCGAAGACCAGACCTATAAGTGTTCAGTTTTAGACCGGACCGAACCGAAAACCCTTAGACCGGACCGGTTTTGATCGAAAAGACCGAACTGTACTAATTCTTTTACTTTTTAAAATTTATTTTTTAAATATTTTACAAGTAGAATAACCCTAAAAATGTAATTATACCCAAAAAATATAGTTCATCACAAATCATAATCGGGAATTAGAGATGCAATTGTATTAAACTGAAAAAACTTCATCATGCAATTGTATAAAAAAAATGGCAGTAACTTGGATTTTATTTCTTCATTAGATTCCTTCCAAAGTTGAACCAAAAATAACAATTGTTCACAAATCATAGTAGGAAATTGGGGATGCAATTGTATCAAAGTGAAAAAAAATTGAAGTAACTTGGATTTTATTTCTTCATTAGATTCCTTCCAAAATGAAACCAAAAATAACAATTGATCACATATCATAGTAGGGAGTTGAGGATGCAATTGTATCAAAGTGAAAAAACTCCATCATGGAACTGTATAAAACGGATACTAAGAAGCCATGCTCGCGAATACCTCTCGATTTGGTACAAATCGGACACTAAGAAGCCCTGCTGGCTCGCCAATCGAAGTCAGCCGCTGAAATCTGATTCTGGAGTTCTTCTCATAACCAGAAATGGAACTTTGAAGATCGATTCCTCCGGAGGGGATTCGATCGAGCTTTACTCCAGTCAATCGGAAGCCAAAGTGAGTGCTGTTTTGCTGGATAATGGGAATTTTGTGCTGAGAGAAGATGGAGATTGTGGATTCAAGAGTGAGAGGGAGAAACGACACCAGAGAAAAGGGATAGCCGGATAGAGTGAGAGGGAGAAAAGACTTGCATGGTAAGAGGTTTAGCGATTAGCGTTAGCGTTTTGAAAAAGCTATCTACGGGCAGCGTTTAACGTTAGCGTTTTCAAAGCGATCTGCACCGTTAAAATTTTATCCAAAACGCTAACGCTAATCTCTAACGCTATTCCCAAACAGACCCGACAACAGAGAAAAGGGTTTCATGTAGGGCTGGGTTAGGAAAACCGAAAACCGAACCGAAATCGATCGAAACGAGCTAGAAAAAAAACCGAACCGAAAAAACCGAAACCGAATGTAAAAAAACCGAACCAAACCGTTAGTGTTTGGTTCCGTTTTGGTTTTCACTTTTAAAAACCGAACCGAACCGAATAAACCGAACTTTCTTAGATACTTCGCTTTATTTATATGAATATATGTGATATGTAAAAAAATTATAGAAATATAAACACAAATAAATTACTAGTCGATTAAAATTATTTTCTTAACTATTAATTAAACATTCTAGCCATATTATTATAAACTTTGAAAAAAACCTAAGAATATAAACACCAATAGCTAATCCTAAAATAGAATTATATTAACATTAAAAATTGATACGAGTAATTTACATATTTACATAACAAATACTTTGATGTTATAATGAAAATGAAAGTATTATACCAAAAAACCTAAATTCTTCGTAATTGATTTTACATACGATTTCTTTGGAAGTATTTGGAATCTTCTAAATGTTTGTTGCACACTCAACACATATTTTTTATGTAAAATTGAACCAAAAGGAACAATGACCTTCCGTTTGGTTTTTGTTTTTTGTGTAAAAATCAAACAAAAAAACCAAAGCTAACACTACATATTGTTATTGTTTCATCGAGTTAGTGTTTTTACTATTTTTTAATGCTTATAAATTTCTACTTTTATAAACCGAAAAAACCGAAAAAAACCGAAATAAAAACCGTATAAAACCGAACCGAATAACCAACGGTTTACATATTTTTTATGCAAAACCGAACCGAACCGAACCGCCAATTTACCTTCCGTTTTGTCTTTGGTTTTGGGTGAAAACCGAACTGTCAAAACCGAACCCACCCCTAGTTTCATGGGTCAGCACGTCCAGACCGAATGGTAATCGGGTATGGACCTGACCGGACCAAAACCCGAAATCATATACCCGTGAGTATCTTCCGGACTGAAGACCGACCCGATATCAATTCGGTCCGGATTCGGTCTGGACCTATCGGTTCGGTCCAGTCGGTTTTTTCGGTCCAAAACTAAACATGAACATCCCTATTACTAAGTAACCATTCAACCATTGTTCATATATTTTATTCCCCAACCCATTCTTCACAAACTTCATTCAAGAAAAAAAATGTTCAACACTTGTTGCAACATGAAGTACATACAGAACTATACTTAAGAGACTTTTTAGTGGACAATGTTTTCATAGAGAGCTCAATAATACTCTTAAACCACCAAATTTACTTTCAGAGCGAACATCCATAATATAATTCTCAACACTATCACCCCTTCCACTCGACTCTAATTCTTTGAATTTAGGTTACTTTTTTATATACCTTTGCGTTGTAATTTATAAGTTAAAAATAAAGATTAATTGTACAAATTAGACATAAATTGCACATTAATACTTATCACTTTAAATCTTTAATCAATTAGTAGTCATAATCAATCTATTATTGATATAAAAGTAGAATCAAAATTGAGTAAACTTCCATCCAATTTTTGCTCCAATGTGACGGTCCAATTTCATACGCAATTGACAAATTTAGCCGTCAATTGCGAGGCAAATGCTGTCCAGAAATCCATGATGATTGAAGGGACGGTTTCCATCTCTTCCTTCTCTTTTCTAACACCCCCGCTGATCTGCGCCAACCCACCATCCAGCCTCCACCTCTCTTTTCCTCCCTCCTCCATCTTCATGCCCCCATCCTACGCTGCCCGATCCGCCGTCCATAGTAAGTCAAATTCATCTCCTTCTCCACATGTTAATTGCATAAATAGTTTTTTTTTTGAATTTCAGATAATATTTTCAAATATGCTATGCCTAAATTGATTTACGATTCATGACACTTTACTTGTTAAATTGCTTTCGTTTTAATTTATTTCTCTAATTAGATTTGAATTGCATTGTGTCAAAAGAAAAGACGCCTGATCGAGTTCTTCAAACAATTGAAATTTCTTGGAGAGCCTTTTTCTAAAGTTGCTAAACATGAACCGAAACTGGCGCTGAATGGTGGGCCAGATGGTTTAAAAGATCTTTTTCATCTTTGTAAGGGAGCTACTTCAGTGCTGAAACTGGGTGGTTTCTTTGCTTTCGAGGTAGAACCGTTCATTTCCTTAAAAAAAATAATATTCTCATTATTTCCTTAAAAAAATTCTCATTATTTTTGTAAAAATTTTATACCAATCAAAAATCATCTTCAATTAAGTTTAGTTACTCTGTTCTTTTTCATTTATTATCTCAAAGTTTTTTTTCTTTTTTTTTGGCTTGATGTTAGATGAAAGTACAATATATCATCAACAATCTTTGATTAAATGGCATCCCAAAACATAAACTAAGGTTATAATGGTTTCCTTGATTCACCTTTAAAATTGTAGTTCTAGAGAGATTTGCTTTTAAAACTATAAAAGTATCTATTAGTTTAACTTAGCTTATGTTTGTAGTATTTGTTTACATTCTTCACAACAAAACAGATAAATGTGATGATCCTTTGTGGTTGTTTTTTACTTACTAATTCTATAGCTGAAATGATTGGTTTCTATTTTTCTAATACGTAAATCATGAATTCAAGGTATTAATCCAAAAATGGCTTCATTCTCTTTTCTTGCAAGTTCGGTAGCATTGTTGCCACCGGTGACATTGTTCATGTGATTTATGCATTTGATGGCCTACTCTATTTCTGATATTGTTTCTCTTCATAAACTAACAATAGGAATGGAAAGGAAACAATTAGAATCTCTCCCCAAGATTCTTCATGGAGTGAGCAACACCATGAGGGAATGTTGATCTAATGAAGCTTGAAGATAGAAATGCTAGAAAAAAAGGGAACGAGAGGGGTTCATATTTTTCTTGCCAACTTTTTAAAATGTTAAATTTTTTGTATGTTCATAACATTTTAGTTGTTTATCCAGGTAATTTTGCTTCTGGAACTCAGGTATTTTAAATGAATAATTTCCCCTTGCGTAAATCCAAATTCTATCCTATCCAATCCTATATCCTATCCTATATATATGTAATGTTAGGTTCAATTCCTAGTGTGTTGACATGTGGCATGCCACATAATCATCCACAAGTGCATTCGTTCATGAGATGGAGTTTAGGGTTTATTTATTTATTTAAAAACACCTTTTAACACATTTTATTGTATTACATTCAATAAATATTATATTTTAGTATAAAAAAATATTACTTTAATTATACTTTTATAAAAATGTAATTTTTTAACAATTTTATAAACATATATATCATCATTGTAATATATATACTCCCTCCGTCCAATGATTCATCGTTTTACTTGAACTTAAGTGCGTGTCATTTTAAATAAAAAAGCTAATTTAATGATTCATCGTTTTACTTGAACTTCAATACTTTTTATACATAGAATTATAGAAATAGATACTATTACTATTATTTAAAACATTTGTTTAATCTTTATGAAATCTTTCTTTATGTGATGCACATCTCTGGAAATCAGTTTTCAATTTTTGATAAACAAGGTAAGATGATTCTTAAAACCTTTTTATCAAAAAATCGTATGTTTCCAGTAGACTTTAATAGAGGCGAATTCAAGTGCTTGAGTGCAACTGTGAATGATGAATCATGGTTATGGCATTTACGTTTCCGGCACCTGAATTTTCAAAGCCTGGAAAATCTTGCCAAACAAAATTTAGTGAATGGTTTACCCTATATTCATCATCCTGATCAATTATGTGAGGCTTGCATTCTTGGAAAGAATCACAGATTACCTTTTGTTAAGGAGTCGTGGCGTGCAAAACTACCTTTGGAGCTAGTTCACACAGATGTTTGTGGCCCGATGAACATACCATCAATTGGATGTAACAGATACTTTCTAACCTTTATTGATGATTTCTCAAGAAAAACTTGGATTTATCTCTTGAAAGGCAAAGATGAGGTGTTCCATTGCTTCAAAATATTTAAAGCATTTGTTGAAAGACAAAGTGGCAAATTAATCAAGATGATACATAGTGATGGAGGAGGTGAGTACAAATCCAATGATTTCAAGAGTCACTGTGAAGAACTCGGGTTGCAGCACAATATTACTTTTCCTTACACTCCTCAACACAACGGAGTGGCAGAGAGAAAGAATAGAACAATTCTTGATATGGTAAGGAGTATGCTAAAAGCAAAAGGCATGCCAAATTATTTTTGGGCTGAAGCTGTATCATGTGCAGTATATATATTGAACAGATCACCCACCAGGAGTGTTCCTAACACTACTCCTATTGAGGCATAGAGAGGATTCAAACCCAATGTGCAACACCTGAAGGTATTTGGATCAGTAGCGTACGATCACGTTCCAGTTGCAACAGGAACGAAGTTGGATGATAGGGCTGTTAAGACCATTTTCATTGGATATAAGCATGGGGGGTACAAACTGTACAATCCAATGACAAAGAAGGTGATAGTCAGCCGTGATGTTACATTCGCAGAAGATGAGGCATGGGAATGGAATATATCAGGCGACATGGATTCCAAAACGTGTTATGTTCACGTTATGAATGACGATGCAGAAGATGGAGTTAATCTTGAAACACCAGCAGGCCAACCCAATGTTGTAGCCCCTTCTGCAACTACTACGGAAAGACCAAGAAGGGAACACCGACAACCTGCACGTCTTCAAGATTGTGAGGTAAATCTCGACAATGAGATCGATGATGATGGAGAATTAGTCCATTTTGCTTTCCTTGCAGATTCGGAACCTGTGGGACTCGATGATGCCATTCAAAATCCAAAATGGCAAGAGGCTATGAATGAAGAATTGATTGCGATTGAGAAAAACAACACATGACAGCTTACTGACCTTCCAAAAGGACACAAAGCCATTGATGTGAAATGGGTTTACAAGATCAAGGTGAAGGCAAATGGTGAGGTTGACAAATACAAAGCAAGGCTAGTGGCGAAGGGATTTGAGCAAAGAGAAGGATATGATTATGAGGAAATATTTTCTCCAGTGGCTCGAATGGAAACTGTGAGATTGATAATTGCTTTGGCTGCACAAAAGCAATGGAAAATTCACCAGATGGATGTCAAGTCGGCATTTCTTAATGGCCCACTTGATGAAGAGGTTTTTGTAAAGCAGCCACCGGGTTTCATACAACCTGAAAAAGAGGAGAAAGTGTACAGACTTAATAAGGCATTATATGGGCTTAAGCAAGCACCAAGAGCTTGGAACAAAAGGATTGATTCGTTTCTTCATGACACTGGATTTCAAAAATGTCCATCAGACCATGGCCTATATGTGAAGGCAATTGATTATGGGGATTTTCTAATCTTGTCTCTTTATGTTGATGACGTGATTTTTACAGGAAATAATCACAAGATGGTCACTGATTTCAAGCATATTATGATGAAGGAATTCGAGATGACTGATCTTGGTCTTATGTCCTATTTTTTGGGCATCTGAAGATCAAATTGCAGACATCTTTACCAAGCCATTGAAGCTTGATGCATTTGCCAAGTTGAGGGACATGCTTGGAGTGAAGACCATCCCTTATCAGAATTAAGGGGGGATGTTGAATAATTTGGTTAATTATTTATTAATTCTGATTTTTAATTATAAGTTAGAGTGTTTGAATTATTCTTGAATAATTGTCCTAGTCTTCAGGGTTGTTAAGAGTGTTACTTAGTGGCCTGTTAGTTAGTGATCCTATTTTTATGGTCTATCACAGGATATGTTAGTGGTTTGCTATTAGGCCTATTTTCTAGCTTCTGTTGGCTGTAAGGTGACCTATATATATGGCCATCTGATTTCATTATTTCTGTGAGAAAAAAAAGCAGTAAATCAAATTCAAAGCTTTCATCTTAGTTCCTGAGTAGTACAACATACTGCCATTCTTTTCCTTCAGCGTAGCTGAACTAGGAACGGAGTGAGTTGCCGGAGCGTAACTAGGAACGGAGTGAGTTGTCGTCGGGGGATGGAGGACTGAGGGGGGAGATGCGGGATGGTATGGTTGGGCCAAGCAGGGCTCATCTGTGGCGGGTAATGGCGGAGCTGAAGGAGAGAAAGATTCTCCACCGCCAAAGCCATTGGAAGCCATTGTTGACAGCTTGAGATAGAGAGATCGGGTAAGAGCAACTCCAATGATAAGAGGTGTCTTGGAGAGAGGTATATATCTCATTTATCTCTCCAAATGATCAAGTTTACATTTCCAAAAAGTGTGCAACTCCAATGGGGGAAGATATATCAAAAGGCAAAAGAGTGGAAACATCCATCTCCATACATTATTGGAAAAAAATTAGTTGTTTTACCTTCTTAAATCAAATTTTAATTATTAGAAAAGAAAATATACATTCTTAAAAAAATCATGGGGAGGTAAATTTCAGGTTTGTTGCCTTTGTTTCTTCTTGATTAAATTTTTAAATTTAAACATTTTATAAAAATACAACTAATTTATTGGGAAAAAAAATTAGAATGTCAGTTTTGAAATAATTAAATATACATTATGTCTAATTACACATGTAAAACTATAAATACCCGAATAGAAAAAAAACTTAAAAATACAGAGTGCAAGATTAAAAAACAAAGTATCTTTTTTGTTAATTCTTGACTCGTTAAATTTTACAATGACAAAGATACAAATTAATAATTTATAATAATATAGAATAACTAAAGTAATTGATGAAATAAATTTAAAAGGTGGGAAAATTGATATACCTCCCCAAATGAAGAAGGTAAAGATACCTCTTCAAAATTAAAGAAGGTATAATCCCTTCTTATTACCTCTCCCATTGGAGAATGATTTTTAATGAAAAGAGGTATATATCACAAATATTCCTCTTTACCCTTTCATATACCCCTCCCATTGAAGTTGCTCTAAGAGAAGAAAATGACTCCACTCCTGAAACTAATCCCAATTCCCAACCAACATAATCGATGCGTATACCCGCCAAGTATTTGTTACCTTAACCACAGTTCCTGCTTTGGAGATATTTTTAGATATTTTATGAGATAGAAGTGTTTTGTGGGATAGAGAAAACGTTAGTGTGGAACTATTCTCTAAAAAATGAAAATGGAGAAAGTATTTTATTATCAGATAAATTGTGAATAGTGTTTCAGATAAGAAAATATGGAGTTTTTAAATTAATGCTTCGTAAGATATATATACGATTGGATTCGTCTCTTAAATACATATTAGACGAATATACTTTAGATTATAAATTTTTAATTTAAAATTTTTATTATTTATCTTAAACATTATTCATACTTTATATGATAAAAATATACATATTTCAATTTTTCTATTTTACCACAATATAGTTTTCTGATTTAAACCAGCGGTGCAGGGGTTTAGGTATACCGCACTCAAGGTATTTTTTTATTAGTTATAATTTATAAATGCATACTTAATATTTGTCCAGTCGCCACAAAATGCTAGATATTCGGCTTAGGGTACATTCCATTCAACTTATTTTTTCAACTCATTACTTATTCTTATTAAAATTCAATTTCATCAGATCAGATTAAATCTAATTAGATCAAATCTAATCCGAAGTATTGGTTTAAAATTCAAAAATTTTGGGAGTAATTTTGTTAATTATTCAATTATGGAGTAATCACGTAAAATCATAGACTTTTTAATGTCTTTGTGTGAGTTTTTCCAATAAAATAAAGAAAAAGTACCAAAATAATATTTTCAAGTTTTTATCCCAAAACAAAAATTAAAATATCAATAACATTAATATATAATACTAAAAACATTATGGAATATCAATATAAAGTGTCAAATTGACACATGACAGTAGTCATGTTTTGGAATTAAAAGCATAAAACTTATACGAGATATTTTGATACTCTATGTCTTACTCATAACAAGGCAAAATTCTTGAAAATAATGCACCAATAAAATCTTATCTGGTTTTATTAAAGTCTCTGATATAATTTTATATGATCTAATTTAATTCAAGTTTTATTTAAATTATTTTCTATCTAAGTTATCTGGTCTTAATAACAATAAATATACAGAGTAAATAACAAGAATAAATTGAAAAAACAAGAAGAAATCACTTTAAATAGGAATAAAACATGAAAAAATATTAAATAGGAACTTCATGTTTATATCCTAAATAAGAGTTTACACTCTGTTAATGTAACACTGTATATGGATATTTAATAATACTTTTTATATTATATATTGGCATGATTGACATTATATATGCATTTTAACTTCTGTTTTGGAAATAAAATTACAGAACTCTTATTTTAATAAGATTGTTCAAAAATATCCCATTCAAAAAATACGTCAATGATCCGAACACTCCTACTCCGTAGAAGTAGTATGTGTTAGGCCTTGTTTGGAAAACAACCTTTAGCTATTAGTTATTAGCTGGTTTGAATGGTTGATTAAATTGACTGTTAAATTGACTGTTTTAACTAGCAGATTGTATTAGCTGTTAGCGAAAAACTTTTTGGCAAACATAGTTGTTCATAAATAGCAATTTATGATGTAAATTACATTTTTAGACATACCTCCTAATGTGTTCATTACGAAATAATGTTTTAGACACTGTTTTATCCTAAATAGGAGTAACAATTAGTTAATTTTTTGCATTGTAAGAGCATCTCCAAGGTGTAGTGTAAAATTTGAAAGTGTAAATTTCATTTTACACTATCAATAGTGTTTTGCATTTCCATTTTTATACTTACTCCAACCATATTTTCTATATAATACACTTTTTATAATATTTTATTGTTTTAAGTTACTTATTTTTAATGATTTTTTAAAAAAGACATCATAAATACCTTGTACATATGAAAATGGAGAAGAGGGAAGGAAAAAAATGAAGAAAATTAATTTTTATTCTTTCCACTATTCATAGTGAACTTGTAAAAATACACTTTGGAGATTGCTTTTTACAATACATTGCATTTTACCACTTAGTTTACCCTATCCATTGGAGTGTTGAAAAGACAACATTAAATTGTATATAGTGTATATTTTACAATATACACTACACCTTGGAGTTGCTCTAATAAAAACAAACTCTATATATAAAAATAAATACTGAGCAAATATATTACGTAACAACATACAAAAAAAATCACCGAGAGCACATAGTTAGAGAAAAGAAAAAACCTGCTAGTTTGGCCAAGTTTAAAAAAATAAATAAAAATAAACAAACAAAACAAATAAAAAAACAATTACCTAGAGTACATAATAAGAAAAAAAGGAAAAAAAATTTACTAGTTTTACAAAGTTTTTGAAAATAAAGAAAAATAACATATAAAACAAATCATACTCCGCATGTAAACCCTTTCTTAATGCTCCATACATAAACTAAATAATAAAAAAATCTACATTAAGGGCATAAAAATAGGAAAAAGTGAGCTCCTAAATCAAAATGCTACTCATCCCAGCAGTTGGATTTTTGGTTGTACGATCCCATCCGATAGGCAAAACAACTATTTGCCAAACAATTAATTAAAGACCTAAACCAGCTGTTCTTAGTCAAACGGCTAAATCAGCAATATCCAAACAAGCCCATAGACTAACAGGTGTATAGTACTTCGCAACATTTAATACTCCTAGAAAATAAACCTTCTAGTTGACTAAACTCGAACAAGGATCTGAATAGAATCCACCCAATATCAGTCTTTCTGCTTATGCTCATAAACACATACACAGTACTTTCTAACACCAAAGTGTTTAATCGTACAGTTCATTTTTAAGAGGAAGATAAACAGGTTTTAGTAATTACTGTAAAATTAAATGCAGTTTTCAAGTAGAGTGCACATTCAACATGCTTTAGTCACAAAGCTATATAGAGATGACTAGAAACAAGTCCACCGTGTTGGTTTGGTACTGCCGGTCTCCTCTTGTGCTCCTGCCAAGGATTTCTTCTTCCGCCTGAAATTTAAACAAAAATAGAAAGAGTGAAGCACCGTGTCGTGGATCAATGCCACTGCCTTAGAAACGATTTCGCCTTCACCGGTGCGGTTGATCAAAGGCGTCGTCCCCCAAGGATAACACGGAAGCCGGCCTTTGTGCGCACCCACAGAAGCCGGAAGGAACCGCACAGATTTTGCTCAACAAAGGAAATAAGAATTTGCAGAGAATTTTCAGAGAATTTGCAGAGAGTTAGGAGTGATATTTTCTGATATTTCCCCTCTGCCAGACCACTCCAATAAATAGACCAAGAGAGATAGAGATGTTAGAGGAAGTTGAGAGATTTGTGGTGAAGGAAAGGAAGTGTACGGTGAGGCCATAAAAGTAGGAGTCAATTTGAATTGATCCACTCACTCCACCAATTTGAAAAATAAAAGGATAACCACTTCTTTGACTAAGTGAAATTAAACAATTAAATATAAAAGAAAAAGAATTAGTCAAAATAAGAGAAACCTCCAGAAGCCTTGCATTACACAACACACCGAAGGTTGACTAACACCAACCATGGGGGGGTGACTCGTGTCGACAGTGTTGGTAGCTCGTTGGAGACCGATATATGTTGCTTGACAGAGACCTGTTTATCGATTGTAGTCAGAAGTAATGCTCTCAAAAATACCCAGTACGGCGGGTGGGAGAAAACTCCCTTTTTAAAAGAGTAATTTACCTAAATAGGACTAAAATATAATGACTTCCCCAATATAGGACCATATGTTTTTATATTTCTCAATGTAGGACTTTTGGTCATTATCAAATAGTCATTATTCAAGTAAATATCCATCATTACTGGACATTATTTCTCTCACAAGGTCATTATTAAGTCTTATTTGGGGAATAAAAAAATTTAAGCCTTACATTAAAAAAAATCATTATGTTTTAGTCCTATTTAGTGCAAATTTCACTTTTTAAAACGCCTTTTCCCTTCAACTCCCAACCAAGAAATGGTTCTTGTAGTAATACATAGATGTCAAATTAAAAGATGGGTATGAGAGAAAGTTGAGGCACAAAGTACTATCAAGTCTACTACACACACCACTTGGAACAGGAAGAAAGAAAATTTCAACACCTAACAATATAAGTTACACTTGCTGATACTCACCACTCAAAATTAAGCAGAACGTATATCCTTTCTCCGACTTGCATCACTTCATTTCATGTACTCTAACACGTACACCCTGATGGATTTCTTCAAGGAAGGACACAAAGCCCATGATGCTCGTGAACCCATTCCCTTCTAGGCTTCTACATCTTGTTCCTCTATAAGGAAATTCTCAAATGGCGTTGCATCGTCCTGGCCCGCTCTCATGAATATGAGTTTCGGGGTGATGCATCGCTCCTGCTTCCGCTTGTTTATTATCGTTCTCAGTAAACCTGAGGGGAAGGGCAAATCTGTCAGAATTAAATTAAGAACAAAGATTTCCAATGAAATTAGGACAAAAGACTTTTTAGGATCTTACAGTCCTGATCGAGGTGGAGGAAAAGGGAGTGAAGGGTCAGCTGTAGATGAATAGTAGACGATGAGAACTGTGAAAACATCCAGGAAAAATATGGGGCTGCCGCTGGTTATATATCAATGCAGCACGGCTCAGGGAGTGGCGAGGGTAAGCTGTACTAGTGACTAGTAACATCACTAGTCCACACTACCGCACAAGGTTTGGCTAAAATTCAAACACACAATGAGGTTTTTCTCTTAATAACTCCATATTATCAACCTACACATATGCATGATACAGAATTACAGATCAATACTTACATGTTTCTAAATAGATATTGTCTAAATGTTTTTACCAACAAAGTAACAAGATCATATGGCCGCACCTCTGTCTATGTCTCACCTTGCCGGTGCTTTTCTCGCCGAACGGGTCCGTTCCTGCACTTTAAGCTTTTATGGCGTTGGGGATCTGAACAGATTCATCATATTCCCATGTAATTTGGTTCTCTAATTTATGGTTCTCAATATTTTCCTGATTTTTGTTTCATTAGCTCCTGATTTGATTTTTGCTCAATCAATTGTCGATTTTTTAAACAATTGAAGCTTTTTCATTATTTTTTCCTGGATAAAAGAGGGCTTCTGATACGAAGATGGAGTCAACAACACGAAGATGGAACCCTCGAAGTTGTTTGAGAGTCTTGGGCTGCGGCCAGGCCTGCATGGCCTCAATCTTGGACCGGTCCACCAACAGTTTACCATCTTCGATCAAATGTCCAAGGTACTCAATGGTTGGAACCCCAAATTGGCACTTGCTCTTTTTCACATAAAATTGATTGATGCTCAACAGATTCAACACAACCTCCAAGTGATCACAATGTTGAAGTAGGTCCCGGCTATACACAAGTATATCGTCAAAAAATACGATAACAAATTTGCGTAAAAAATCCGAGAATAACCTGTTCATGCAACTTTGAAATCTGGACGGAGCATTAGTTAGCCCAAATGGCATCACGAGAAATTCGTAATGACCTTCATGAGTTCTGAACGCGGTCTTTTGGACATCCTTGTGGTTCATTCGGATTTGGTGATACCCTGATCGAAGGTCCAGTTTTGTAAAGACTCGTGCCGCTCCCAACTCGTCGAATAGTTCATCCGTCGTTGGAATGGGAAAATGGTCGGGTACTGTCACAGCATTTAATGCTCGATAATCTACACAAAATCTATAGCTCCCATCTTTTTTTTTAACCAGTAGCACCGGCGATGAGAAGGGACTTCGGCTTGGTTGGATTATCCCTTGCTCCAGCATCTCGCGAACCAGCCTTTCGATCTCTGTTTTTTGGAAATACGGATATCGGTAAGGTCTAACATTCACCGGCTCCACCCCCGGTTGTAAAAAAATACGATGATCCCCCCATCTGTGAGGCGGTAACGTCCTTGGCTCATCAAAAACTCTTACGTAGCTGCTCAGCACATTTTTTATTAACGAAGACACTTCTGGGCTGCTCTCTTCAGGCCTGCTTTCTTCACATGACACTGCCCATAGTTCCAAATAATCACCAATGGTATTGGCAGCGTGCATGCACTGTAGTTGATGTAAAGACATGGGCTGAATGGGCCTTTCTTCTCCGCACAACAGGATGGGCTGACCTTGCCATAAAAACTCCATTGTCATCTTGTTATAATCGTGTGTGATTCGTCCCAAGGATCTCAGCCACTGCACACCCAAGACCACATCATGGCCGTGAATCGCTAAAACGAACAAATCCACACTGAAGTTGTTATTCTGGATCAGCAACGGCACTTGGGGGCATTGAGCTTGGCACGTAAGGGAGTCTCCGTTTCCCACATATACCCTGAAGGCTTCAATGTTCACCAACGCCAATTGTAATCGTTCCGCCGTCTTTGGATGGATGAAGTTATGTGTACTTCCCCCATCCACCAGGACATCCACAATTTGGCCTTTGATCTCAGCCTTGAGTCGGATCGACCTTGGGGTCGTGGATCCTGCCAAACTCTGTAGAACTGAGACGTCTCCTTCGAACAAGGCTTCATGTTCCTCCGTGATCTCAGTTCCCTCCTCATCGTCCTCATTTGTCACAAGCAAGTAATAACGGCCGTTACAGCGGTGCCCGCGAGACCATTTCTGGGGGCAAAAATAGCACTCTCCACGTGCATCCTTCTCTGCTTTCTCTGCCGGAGAAATTCGCCGAACCGGTTTTGCTGGAATACCTCTGGGAGTGACCAAGATTGGTTCCTTGTTTGGTGGTATATAGGGGGTGATGGTTTTCGTTGGGGCTGGAGTGGGGTTACTAGTGGGCTTGGGATAGGTCGGAGCCCAATTCTTACGAGTGGGGGCCTGGAGTTCCTCATATTTAGCGGCTGTTTCTCGAGCCAGAGCAAAAGCCCCATTCAAAGTAGAGGGACGGTTCACTCGTAGCTCTCTGCGGACGGGGTCCTTCAGACCAGAGATGAAAACTGAGATTAAGGTTGCCTCTGTAACTCCCTCGACTTTGTTCATCAATCTCTCAAATTCTGTCTGATAGGCCATAAGGGTAGTCGTTTGCTGTAGCTTGGCTAACAAACCAAAGTAATCCTCATACATCTCAGGATCAAATCGAAACTTGAATTGTTCTTCGAAATCAGCCCAAGTATTAATCAAGTCGTTTCGCTTCATCCTCCTAAACCATTCCACTGCAGCACCGTCGAGCATCAGTCCAGTTACTTTCAAGCGCCCCTCCTCCGGAATGGCATTGAACTCAAAGAATTCTGTGGCTTTGAACAACCATGTGTGTGGATCAGAACCATCCGTAACGGGTGGATCCATCTTGAACCTCGGATATCTGGGCGTGTTTGATCCGTCTCCATATGTCCCTGATTTTTCGTGATGTTTGTATGAAGTTTCCTCAAGATTAGGATGATTTCCCTCCACTCGATCTACTCGGTTGCTTAAGGAACCGATCTTCTTGTGGACGGATACAATTTCCTGGTGAATAGCCCCTTTTTGAATCTCAGAGAACTCTTGAAACATCTCCGAGAGCCGCTTCTCCATGGCTGCCGCTAGGGCTGCCGCCGAATTCGGATCAGGTAGGGGTGTTGTCATCTCTCAATGGAAGCACCAAATGATAGAAGGTTAACTCCAGTATCTCTTCGAGCGGATACAAACTCCAGCAAGGGGATTGGAACGGGAAAATATATCAACAAAGAACTGGTTGACAGCAGTGTTTAAAAAGTTGGAAGAGACTGATTTGGATTTTTTTGAAGTTCCCTCTTCAAGCAAACAAAGAACACGCCTAAATAGGCAACAACATGGGTGATACCCACGCAGGGGTCTAATGCTTGTTTCCACTTAACCACTACATCTAAAAAGGTGGAAACTAACTCCCCTCTCCCATGAGAATAAGTCAAACAAATAACTGAAGTAAAAATAAAATAATAAAACAATAAGTGAAAGCACTAGAATAATATAATCATCTGGAATAGTCATCCAAGTATTTTGGGGTGCTGGTAGCTCTTCTTGACCGACGTGGCAGCTTTGGTGTTGTTGACTCCATCTTCGTATCAGCTTCCGACTGCTATGTTTGTATCGATATGCTACATTGCTACTGATAGAGAGTTTGGGAATTATTCACTGCCATGTCTGATATTCGATGTGTTTTAGCTGTCATCCAAAAGATTTCATGGGACTATTTGATATTGCTTTGTTATACATACGTACGTAGTATATGCTATGAAAGTAGGAAATCCAGGTTTATATGAATCTCAGTCTCTCCGAGGTATATGTTCGCACTCCATATTATTCTTTTCTGCCCTTTTGGTCATTCGGGTTAAGGGGTAGTGGCTATCTGTGCCAGTTTTTTTCTTCCAGTGGTTATCCTTCCCACCGTGTCATATTTCTTCTCATATTCCTTCGTAACAGCCTGGTAGGTTTATTATTCCGTATTCATTTCCCCAATCTGTTACCCCCTTTGTCCCTTTTTAATCTTCCCTTTACTATTTACTACTCACAGGGTCAAACTATATCTTCTTTCTTTGCAAAGTCATGCAATAACACAACTCATAGCTTCCATATTCCCAGCTTCTTGTGTATTGGAGCTGGAGTCTTAAAAGAAGTGATTGCTTTCATCTTTATTATGGTTTGTTTGGTAATGGCTTATGGAGGGGCCAAACATTCATGTTCTCATCTTCTTTGGACACACTCTGTATGTGAAGAGGCCTCGTTGGTGGAAAATTCAGCAAGTTTTTACCTTTCTGATTATTTGTCTCTACTTTTATTTGGTTTCTTGAAAGTTTTTTGCCACTCGCTTTGCTCCGATTCAAGACACTATATCTGAGTGAAGTTTTTTGCATTCATCCTTAGGTGTTAAACTTGTGCATTGTGATCAGTCATGATTGCCCTTTTTTCTAGGGATGCCATTGAAAGTTCTCAACAAATCTTGTTGTTTTGGTGCATCTTGGGCTTTTAGTTAATTAGTCTTATTATCATACTATACTTTCCCAAAGTTTTAATCAAATGTTTGGTGACTAACTTACATTCATCTCAACCACGAATGCAGAAACGTTACGAAGATATTCCAGTTTTGGGACAGAGGCCAACGGAATGAACTGCGCCATGCAAGCCATGAGACTATTTTTTTTCTTCTCGTGAAATATTTTGTATTCATAATTACTCTTTGAAGTATTGCTCTGAAATTACAATTGGAATATATTCCCGTTTCTGTCTTTTTCTTTTTTAAAAAAATCCATGCCCCAAGTTAGCAGCACTGCATGTGATCTGGATCAACGAGCTATGCTTTGCCTGGATATTGCTATCAACCAATTATGTTCTTGAGCTATAAATATATTGGTGCCGTTCAAATTAGGCTTTGCACGAATTTACCCAGGTCCCTAGCTTCTTTTGTTGTTATATTTGTAACTGAATTATTAGAGTCCATATATGGTACAAGTGACTGTATGAGAAGTAAGGTACATTCGGGTAGTACTAATTTTAAAGTAAAGTTGTACTCATTCTCGTACAAAACATAAAATCATAAATATTTATTTTGAAATAACATAGTACTCATTCTGAAATAATGTAGTACTCGTTTTCACACATTTGTTTAATATAATTATTTCAGTATTATATTCATTTACAAATAGCGTAGTGTTTATTTTGAAAAAAACTTGTATTCATTCTCGAATAAAACAGTGTTATTCTTAATTGACTTACTGTTCATTTCACCTTTGCTGTTGAAATTTATAATTCTTCTTCTTCTTCCTCGTTGAAACGTTGAAATCTTCCGTGTAGCGGACTTAGGGTTTCGATATTTATGACTTCTCTGATTTGTAAAGCTGCCACCTAGGGTTTTTGCCACCATATCTCACCATACAACAATGTCCCTCTTTCTTAAACTCCATGAAATGAGACTTTATCTTCACAAGGAGCTAGTGTTTGAACATACGCACCCTTTTTGCTAAGCCACTACTAAATTGGAAAATTGTTATGAGCACTCTCATAATTCATACTCCCTCCGTTCTCAAAAAGAGATCTTGATTTGACCAAATGTAAAAATAAGGAAGTGTTGAATTGTATTTTCTCCATTTCATAAAACCCTTCCTCTTTCGTTTTTTTCCAATTCCCTAAAACACTTCCAGTTTTATTAAAAAACCACTTTTACCCCTATTTTTTCATACCTTTCCTATCACATCATACTTTTTCACTAATAACCAAACTATCACATCTAACTTTTACCCATCACATCAGGGGCAAAATTGGAAAGTCAACCAAAATTATACTTTCCTTATTTTGGCTCAAAGTCAAAATAGGAAGTGTTTAAAGGAACGGAGGGAATAGTTAACTTCCAATTTTGTCCTTGATGTGATGGATAAAAGTAAAATGTGATGGATAGATTATTAGAGAAAAGAATGATGTGATAAGTAGGATATTAACAAGTAAGGATAAAAATGATTTTTTAATAGAAAGTGTAAGTGTTTTGTTAGAAGTGAAAAAAATGAAAGAAGAAATGTTTTTTTAGAACGGAGGGAGTATTTACTATTGAACAAAATGTGCTCACTAACATAATAGCATATGTTGACCAGGTTGCTTCAAAATGTAATTTTGAACGAAGTACTGAACAAAAAACAAAACAAGAGTAATGAAATTAAGACTAACGCAAGGGTCCTAAGACTCAAATACATTATGCAACATATATATATTGTCCAACAAATTGAGAGCCCATTGTCTTATCTTTTCCAATTGTGAAAAATAGACACACCAAACAATATGCTTAGCTTCACATTAACAATGGCAGCAAATATATATCCCCATTCTTAATCAATTCTCTACATGTAGTCTTGGATAGAGGAGAATATGAGGAGGTCATTCGCTCTTGACTGCACGGTACATGTGGCGAACAAACACAAAGGAGGCAAGAAAGCCGACTGTTGCAAGAGCAAGGAAAAATCCATAACATAAGCAAGCCGTGTAGCCGAAGAAGAAACTCGTCTGCAAGAAGCCACTCATGTTTGATTTATAATAGAAATAGACGCTATGGGCAAACATAAATGCAGCAGTCGAGCCTCCACGGAAAATAGACCTGAATAATGATGTGAAAATGAAGAAAAATCAATAATATAAGGAGATTATTCAGTAACAAGGATTTGTAATAATAAGTGAAAATAGGGGGAA